CACACACACACACACACACACACACACACACAATTATCAGATAGACAAAGACCTACACATGGCTGCCCAACCAGTGAGAGGAGAATGTTTTATCTACAATCAGTCACAGAATGAAAATGAGGCTGGTCAGTTTGTAGACCTGGAGTATCAAGGATCACATTGCCAATGCTAAGCCCAAACAGATTCAAAAGATTTGTGTAATTGTGGGAGATTTGGAGAGATGGAATATCAGATTAAAAATGGTGCATAATCTGTTTGGCTGAAGACTGCTTAGACAAATTCTAGGTTGGCTGGCTGAGTGAATGTGTGCACATGTATGCAAATACCTGAGACACACAATTATAAGACAGAATAAGAACCCAGCGAGAGTGAGAAAAGGGAGGGAGGGAGGCTAGTAACCATTTCACAAACAGTTTGGCTGAATTTCTGCTTAATTTCCCAGGGGGTCATGAGCAACTCCACTCCAGCTCCATTGCCGTTCTCTGACAACCATGAAAAATGAAACAAAACTTTACTTTCTTTTTCATCCACAAAAAACACTCCTCACTGCTACACAGGCAAATGAAAGCCATGTTGCCACACAGGACTGAACCGTGGCATGCAGGCTGGGCTGGACCTCCTCCTTTTCAGTCAGTTTGTGACCTAGAGCTCCTTCTGCCTGATGCCAGCCTTTCTTCAGTAGAAATAATTGAGAGACCCTTTAGGTGGAGTACAAGTGCCATCCAAGATAATGTCTCAGGTTTCCCTCCTTTGCTTCGCTGACAGCGCTGACAGCCCTGCCTGCGCTGCCTATCGACTTACACCCACTCCAAAAGCTCCCTCTGTCCCCATCTGCCTCACCTGAAGGCTTACCAAAGGAGAAGAAAATGGGATTTTCACTACAAAGAAGTGAGCTCATGGTCATACAGATCCAAATCGTACAGTAACCGGCGCTGTCAAACATCCTTTTGAACATAAGCAGCCTCAAAGGAGAAAATAAGAGGGAGCGACGCTTTGCTACATTTATTAGTTTTCAACAGATGCTGCATAATTGGACAATTACGACGTAATTCAAACAGACAGAAAAAAGCAAACTCGCTTAACTTTTGTCAAAGTGCATTTTGGAGTCTTATTAAAACTAAATCACCAACACAGCAAAACCTAAAAAGATTAATTGAAAAATAGCCTTATGGAAGCAGTAACTAGCTTCAAGCAGTGAATCGCATGCTTGCAAAGACTACACACTTTTGCGATATAAAGCACATTTCTTTTGGTAACAGCCACATATCTTTGTCTTTGAATAGTACCGACAAGGACATTTCCAAATGATGATCGACTTTAAGTGAACAAAATTCGTGAAACACCCATTTCGTTTCGTGGAATTAAAATAATGTTGAATTGACTTAATTTTATAATACAGTCAGACAAATTCATAAATAAATAGATATGCAAAAACACACAAGACTACTCGCCTTCACCTTTCAGATCAAGTCAGGTCCCGTCTACAGGAATGTAGAGCGATGCCGCAGCTTTACAGGAGCGTCTGTGTGATACAGTGCAGGTGGTAGCGCCACAGTCAGGGAAGCTGAACCATCCAAGAGACGCGTAAAAGCCCCGCGAGTCCGAGGAATTTCTGTCAGACAGGGAGACAGGGTCTGTGTCGTTTCGTGTGCAGTGCGCCTGGATACAGAGACGTGTCCTTGCGTCTTTCGGGGACTTGTCGAATCAGCAGCCGCGATGAGTGGATGAGCGCCAGCCAGAGTGGTGCTCACCTCTCCAGCAGCTGAGCGCTACTGAACAAAAGAGTGCTCCGCAGGCTCTCTATTCAAATAGCAGGAGAGAGGGATGAACGAAGATTGGGGGGTGCTGGTGGTTGGGTGTGCGGAACGAAGGGGAGGAGGATGATGTGTGAGTGTGTGTAAGAGTG